AAGAAAACAGCATACGTTAGTTTCCCCAAAGAAGTTGATTAGAACAGTGCAAGTCACTATAAGCAATGCAGTGACTATATGCAAGCCACTATAACCAAAGTAAACCAACTGAAAAACTACGTTAAAAATGTGTTCACTGAAAGGAACACACAAGAAAAAATGGAATACTGCATAAAACATCTTCAAATGCAAATCTGATTCACATTGTCCCACTGTTCAGTATTTTAAACAGCAGCATTTTAATTGAAAATACTCCAGAGCAGTTTCAGTTATTTTGAATGTGTTACTTTTTAACATTCCCTTAGCTTAGGGTCACAAGCCTAACGGAAACGTAAATGAAAATGTTGGGCTTGCGCTGGAAGCAGGGTCATAAGCCTGGAAAGACTGAGAAATGCTACTTTATAACACAACTATTAAGTCAGTTTTAAGCAGAAAAGAAACACTCATTTTGCTGAACATGCATCCAGTTCTCAATGTTCATTCTTGCTGAGATTTAGGTGCAGCTAATATTAAAGTTTGTCTACATCCCAAAAGGGCTTCTTTCTTCTGAGTTTTCTGATTAATGATTTCAGCAAAACTGGAAGTTTTAGAATAAAATACAGAAAAAAAATCTCATGTTCCAACATGCCTCCTGCAAGTACATAAATAATATCACAGTTAACATCTTGCATGTAACTTTTAGACTTGTTAACAAGAATTTAACTTTAAAATACCAACTTCTTTAACAGGATCCCTGTCAAGGACATTATTAATTGGAAGCAAAAAAGAGAAACTTAAATAGCTCTGAGTCCACTGTATTGGAAAGTGATCTGTGTATAAAATTACTCCCTTATCATGTAGTAATATACAACAAAAGATTATTGAGTAAATTAAGAACCAGTGGTTATTTTGCCTCCTAAACTGAGAGAAGAAAACAAACCTAATTTAATTTACTCAACTAGATGTTATTCATACAAAATATTAAATTATTTTTTTTACTCTCAAAGCCATTTACCTCTACACCACTAATAATCTTTTACATGTTAATTACATTTCATTAAGTATTTCCCTTTATCTCTCCTCTTTATTGCAGAATGTTGCCAATGGCAGACGTCAGTCAAAACAATGCTTAGTACTGGACAAGATTTATTTTCTTTAATTTCACAGCTGGTTTTTTTTAGCGAAAGAAATTATCAAAGTTTCCCAGAAATCCTGTTCTAAAAAACTGCAAATGAAATTTTCACCCAAGAGTATTATCCCATTTTGATGCAAGATTCACTGTTGTTCATCCAGGGAGATTATGTTAGGAGAATTTTTTTTTGGAGATTTGGAAATGTAATAAAACCTACAGGCATTGCCACCAAGTTAATCATTTAAGTTAGCATAATATTAATTTTTTTTCCCCTCAACTTTCTCTCTAAAATATTTGGTGGCTGTTTTCAAGGACTGACAAAACTCAGATTTTCCATCTTCCCCCGCCCCCATAACAAGTAGACAGAACAAAAATTCAGAACCTTTGTTTATAGCCAACATAGCTGTGGATCAACTGTAGAAATGAAAGCTCACACTCATGAACCATGATCCAAAGTTCCCCAATAAATGGTTCACTGATCCAAAGACACGTAATAAAAATTATTAGCTGCTTATTATTTAAGAATTAAACAGATGAGAAATTGCTAATGCACATCTTGAAGTTATCATCATTCTGATTGCCAAAATATTGCTTTAATATACACAAATACACACACACACACACACACACACACACACAGAGAGCATGCCAAATAATGGTCCATATGACAGAATCAATTAGTGTATATGCACAACACAGATCAAGCTGCCAGTAAACATAACCTTGTAAACTTTTTCAGCAGAGAAAACTTCCCTCTCCGTCCAATCTGCAGTGTCACTTTGAGTCTAATATAAAACAGTAACAGAACAAAACTAGAATCAATTAAACAAAAAAAAAAGTTGACACCTATTCCATCCTTCTGGACATAAATTAGGAAAGTGAGGAAGGTAAGCAGGCCACTGGAAGCCAGGAGATCTAGGTTCCAGACTCACTTCTCCACTACTATATCCCAGGGTATGACATATATTTGGAGTAGTTTCCAAAAGGGGAGCAGCTGATGGGGAGTACACCACAGCTGTTGTGTTCCAACCCTTATGGGTTCTAACCCACAAGCAAGGAGCCATTCAAATGTAACACAGCTGCTCCAGCTTTAACCCTGGCTGAAGCAGTATTGAAGTTGGAGCCATTTTGCTACATTTCTGCCTTGTGCACACTGTTAGATGAGCTGCTTCACAGTTCTGAATCAGATGAAGGTGTTATGTCTTATGTTGTCATGACTGACTGATTTTGCTAGGAGGTTAGACTATGGATGTGTATGGGATGGTTTGGATAGGGATGATCCTTCCCCAGGCAGGGAAGTGGATGAGATCACTTCTTGCAGTCCCTTCCAGTCCTGCTTCTCTATAAGCTCCACTTTTGAAAGGCTTCAAATGTGCACATGTCCATATGCACTGTCACCTACACTTCTGCATGTCAGTTTCCCTTTTTTTATATGCTCTTTTTCAGATTAAAGAAGGACTGTTTCATGTGGACAGCTGTTTATAAAGCATGGTAGGACCCTTTCATAGAAGTTTAACATCAGTATTTTCTAGCCATTTGTAAAGCCTGAAAAACGACATAAATTGTTACTATGAAATAATCTATTTTTAACATACCACTTAGCATGACCCCATAAGACAGTGAATGACCTTTGCCTTCATCAGTATCAGAGAAGACTCAGAAACTGGTGGCACGTGTGGGGCAACTGGCAGCCTCCAGACTACCACCCACGTGCCACTCCCCACATTGCTGCAGTCAGGATACCCTTCCCTCCTTTGGCTTTCATTTCCTGCCCACACCCAGGGGACAAGGGAGCACACGCAGCCTATGGTGTCCCCCGAGCTTGCAGCCTAGGGCACCTGCATGTCCTGGTGCAACAGGGGAACCCATAGCTGGGGAGCTGACTATGGAGGCCTGGGGGCCTGCACAGCACAGGGAGTGGGGGGTGCCTGCATGGTGTTCAACCTGGGGTGCTCACAGCTCATCCTGGTGATGTGTGGCCCTCATTGCTACAGCTCACTGCTAAGTATGGCCCCCAGCCACATAGAAATTGGGACAGCCCTGGTTTAGTTCACTGCTGGATCAACTTACTATGACCCTTTTCACCGGGAACCAACAACTTCTCAACAATTTTGTTTGCAACTTAATAATTTGGCTAACAGACTGAGCTCACTTCCAACTATTAAAAGCAAAAAACTCTACAATGCTTTTTCCACAATTTGCTTCATGTCTTCCAACACATGAATATCCAACCTGGGATACAGGTGCCACAAGTGGTACAGGCAGACTCTGTGCATAGCACGTGGCAGATCAGGGAAGGGACAGGCAGCACAGCAGTAGATAGGGCAGGAAGCACAAAGCAAAGCAGCAAATCAGGACAGAAGCATAGGGAAGGAAGCAGAAGGTAGAGTAGTGGCTTGGACAGGGAGTAAAAAGCAGAGTAGCATGCTGAGCAAAGGGCTGGGAGCAGAAAGCAGAGCAGATCAGTAGGACAAGGAAATCAGAGTGGCACTCAGTGAGGGTGCAGAGCTAATTTGTGGCACACCTGCCAAAAAGGTGGGATTAAACTATGACCGTGTCCAGCTGCAAACCCAGAGCCTTTATTGCTCAGATTGTGCTGGTGCACTTGTTCCAACACAGCAGCTCTCAACCAGAACAACAAGAGGGAGGAGCACCCACAAAAAATGTTTCCAGCACCAGGCTGGTCCATGCTTGCTTCAACATAGACAGCAGCTGAATCCCATTAGTATTAGGCTGATGAGCTATGTATGCCAAGAGGTAGAGCTGATAAACTCCAGCAGTGTTGTCAGGCATATAACTATGCTGCTTTCTTTCCAAAGCTGGCAGGCAAGACCATGTGAGAGGTCAGCTTGGGAGGCTACTCATGGGGTTGGGGAAGGTTTGCTGCAGGTTGGCAGTCATATGGGAGACAGGTAATGGGATAAAGTAGTGATTCTCCACCTTGTGAAACTCGAGGCAACCTCTGAAAATGCCAACTTGAGCTTCCACTTGGGTTTTTAATTACAGAGAAAGACAACAGAGCCATTCTTCTGGTGCAGAGAACTCAGCCAGCCCACAGCAGGGCAGAGCAGTTTCAGGGTTACAAGTTCTCACAGGAAGTCTCTAGGTTTCTCTTGCAAGTCTCGCCTGAATGCTGACATTGTGTGGCACCCCTAAGGCTCCGCAGGAAGGATCTCCAGGCACCCACAGGGGCATGGCAGCACCCAGGCTGAGAGTCTCTATGCTAAATATGCAGAGAGCCACTGTCCCACCCAACCCCAAGCTTCCCCCGGCCACCTGTGCCCACTGCCAGCTGCAAACCCAGAGCCTTTACTGCTCAGATTGTGCTGGTGCATTTGCAGCCCTGAGCAATGCAGCCCCAGGCCCAGTGCCCCAACATCGAGCCCCTGATCCTCACCCACAAGCCACAGTGGAAACAGCCTGGCATACAAAGCATGGTGCCTGCCCCCACGCAGTGCCTGGGTGCTGGAGGTGTACATGTGTGCGTATGAGCATATGTATGCAACATGTGCACCTCTGTGCATATACCTGCTTCTGCACATACACAGATGTTTGTGTGCACAAGTGTACGCACATGTACATGCACCTGCTTGCACATATACACATACACACATGCTTGTCACAAAATTGTGCACGTGTGTGTGCATGCACCTGCTTGTATGCACAAGTGTGTGTGCGTGCACCTGCACAAATATGTGTGCAAGTACACCTGCTCGTGCATGTGCACAAGTGTGCACTCATGTTCATGCACCTGCTTGTGCATGTCCACATGCATGCATGCATGCATGCACCTGCTTGTGCATGTCCACGTGCTTAAGGGTGTGCACGCACCTGCTTGCGCGTGTACACACGTGCATGTACGTGTGCAGGTGTGCACGCGGGGCCTCACCTGCACGCCGCCCAGGATGGCTTCGCAGCGCTGGCGCACGTCGGGGAAGGGGCAGCGCCGGGACAGCATCAGCAGCCGCGCCAGCTCCTGTGCCAGCCCGTGCCTGTGCCCCTCAGGCGCCGCTGC